GTAAGGTTTTTTGTAGCGGTAATGCCTATTCAAATGAAAATTTTGAAAAAAATGTAGCGGTAATTATAAATATCCACACCCCACTGTTTTAAACCATTTATTAAATATATTCTTTACAGCATGAAAGTTTTGAATAAATTATTCTTCAAAGGAGGACAAAATATGCTAATAATAGCAAGGCAAAATTGGTATCCATGGGAATTCGACAGATCTAGGAATACCTGATCTCCAAAAAAATTATAAACATTGTTACATGTTATCAGAAACTCGCGCACATTTTTTATATCATCTTTTGAGTATTTCTTTGAAAAATCAGAATGTTCTTTAACAAAAAAAATGTCAATGAATAATGATAAGGTTAGTAATTTTTTTTTATTGAAACGCATCTGAATATGATGTCGAGCACGAGATTTGCATGTGTTTAAGGCCTTCTTAGCTCCTGGCCTATTGACCTGCCTAATTTACATTCCGGTAGAATTGTCAAGAAATCAACTCCGGTAACTTTAAAAGGGTTTGCACAGAGAAAAAAAAATTAGAAATGGAAATATTTCAAATTAAAAGAAAAAAATCCTTGGAGTTTATAAATATCCACATCTGTTTTAAACCATTTATTAAATATTTTCTTGTACAGCACTCCGGAGGTGTTCCCTTCACTGCTGTTGTAAGAAGTTACTCCTGGTAGACCATTGTCTAAAACCAGCTGTGTATCTTATTTGTTAAGATTATGAGGAGCTTTAGAATCAATCCTAATTCATTTTGATCGTTGAGAATTTAAAAAATGGTTAAGACTGTCATATGATAATAAAAGAAAAGTCCACCTAACAAATGAAGTTATGAGTATAAATTCCATTGTCACTTAAGAATTGAACCCCAGTTCTTTTCAAATACAATTACAATAATTAGCTTTATAAAAATAAACAATGTTACCTGGTTTGCAGCTGGGACCATATGTACTTACTATATTAGGTTAGTTTAATCCATTTATATTTTTTTTCTTAAATTTATGAATTATTGAAGTCAGATAAAATGCAAACTTTTAATTATACGCATCATTCTGGACTATGAAAAGTAATAATCCAATGTGTATTACTAATGCTGGTGAACATTTTTAAAAAGATATGTCATAGCTTTTGCTACAACAAGTCATTTCCTAGAATGACATGAAACTGTTAAGGATACTCAGTTGGAAATCTGATACGGATTTTTGTCTTGTAATATTTCCCCCGTCTTGCAGTTAACAGGTTCCAATTATTAACGCATATTTAATATATTTTCTATTTGTTTTCTACCGACCATCGGACAGTTTTCTGTCGGACAGTGACCCTTCATTGACCTTTGGTTTCCTGTATTGTTGGATATTCTGATTAACTAAATCTCTGAATATAATTAGTCCGCATCATACGCATCTGCCGGGGATCAACCCATTATCGGTTTGGATTATATTTCTTGCTTCTCAATGTTATCTTTGTGATGAGTAATGTCATTTTTCATCAGTTTGACAAGGATATCACATTCCAGAGAAGCATCTACTAAAGTGAAATTTGTGTGCATGTTTAGCTTCAAAGTACAAAATGTTTTATCATATATCAATGACCTTGTCAGCAAATATAATTTATCATCGAGTCAAATGCTGACTGACGTTTTCCATACTAATTGAGAGTCAATTATTTTCACACTGAATTGAAGACGATTTTTTTCCGTTTAATCCCGATCATGACAAGGAGCACATGGCGGGTGTGACCGGTCGGCAGGGAATGCACAATCCTCATTGCACCTGATCTCTTCTCTGATTTTTTGGAGGTCAGTGTTTTCTCTGCTCCCATTTTGTATTGTTTTATTGACTTTTGATCTTGAATACTGTTCGTTATCTCCATATCATGTTTTATCATCTTATATGACCATCGACCACACTCGTAACTTATGTGATAAGCAAATACAACCTATCCATGCTATCATCTGAATGTATTTTGATTATTATGGTGCATACCATCTGTTTGACCATTTCTTTTTATACTAAAATTTACTGCGTAGTACTGTAAATCAAAATTGTTGGGGTTATCATTCACGGCCTTCTTCTTCTGGCAAATATTAGTCCAGGTTTTTTATTTACATCATTGCCAGCCGCTTTTTCAATTAAGTAGTGCCATGTCATTTTAAAAACTATTTCGTTGAAAACATTCTCATTGCGCACACAAGTACTCTGAAGTTGACATGTATGCGTTTCTGATTAACAATATATTTGAGCCTTTTGGAGTTCAGGTCTTCCAAAAAACTTTTGTAATTATCAGGGGTATTAATTAAGCCCGATGTTAGCAGATATTAATTTTTGTATTTATATGAAACAGAATTTATTCAAAATCTTTTATTTAAGAAGAAAATCCACATCAACACTTATCCATAGTAACTGTTATTTCCTTTCATTTGTCAACTCAATATTAATTGAAGCATTAGATGTTTCAGACTCTGTGGTTTCTTTTACCTCACTGAAATATGAGGAGAATGGGAGCAGTCTTCTAGCTCAAAAGTCCATTAGAAATAGAATATTGGAGCAGAGCAAACAAGGACAACCTAAACATCAGACGTAGGATCGAGTACCATGGGGGATTGAGTAACCCCTGCCTACTGGTAGCACCCGTCTTGTGCTCCTTGCCAGGATCAAGTAATAACAGAAACAAACGATCAAGAAATAACAAAAACAAACGACAATTCTATGTGTACATAATGACCTTACAATTAGTATGTAAAATTTGAGTCAGCATTTGATTCAATGATAAATTTATTTGCAGACAAGGTCATGGTATCGACCATAGAACTTACAAAATGATGATATTAAACGAGACTACTTATTTTCTTGTTTCATGAATTTGTTTTTCAATTATTTCCCTCGTTTTGAAATTGTTCATATATAGAGCATGCTCTTGCGTATAGAATCAACTTAGAGATATAAACCCTGTCACATGGTATGCATGTGGTGAAGGTCTATTGTTGCATAAGGGAAGTTTACGATTGAAAAGTTGGTCATCACGTATATTTAGAAACTTGGTTGTTATATTATCATTACCGTCTTTTTCAAGTAAAATATAAAATATGAAACAGATAGGTCAGACTCAGTAATATCTTTTAATTCAAGTTCACGGGAATATATCGTATCGAAAAATTAACAATGCGTCGTCGATATATTTAAATTTTGAGTTGAAGGCCACAGCAAATGTTTTCTTACGTATAAAAATTTAAACAAAATCGGCTTCATATGAATACAATAATAGGTGTGCTTATAATTGGGCGCAATTGGTACCCACGGGGATATATACCAATAGATTGTTCGAGGACCTTGTCTCTAAAAACCACATAGATATTATCAATCAGAAACTCAAGCATCTTTTTAATATCAACTTCAGAGTACTGAATTGTTTGTACAATTAAAATGTTTTTAACAAGTTAATTTTGCAAATGACCAATGACAAGGTAAGTAAATATAAGATTTCCATTCCTGTCAATGACATAAAAAAGAGTCTGGACTTAAAGTCTTCATCGTCTGGAACTGTTGTATATAAAGTTGAAAAGTCGTAAGCTTCTATGCTGTTGATTTTGGTAAAATTTTGTGACCTCTAATGTTTCAAATATCCCTCTTCATTTGCAAGTATTCACATCTGATTTACACAACGGTTTTATTTCAAAATGAATTTTCTCATTCGTATGCCTTTAATTTTTGGCGAAAATATTTTTATTTAGTTATTTATTTTTCCCCATTGTGAAATTGTAATCTGAAAAAAAACCATAGCAACCATCCTATTAAATAGTGACTTAATTCCATATGGTGTCTGTTGACATGTACTCATCGGCGCCAGTATATATAAAAAACAACCAATGATCCTTATTTTCTGTTAGATCTATTATGCACCTGTAATTATCCCCGTTTTCAATGTTGTCAGCAGGTAACATGTCCGTTATTGTAGTTATAATCAAAAAGACTGATTTCTCTTTTGCTTTACCCGTAAGGTAATAATCAAGTATAAGAATTATAAGAACTTGTTAATTAGGATGGACATTTGTTTTTGACACATTGCAAGCGACCTTTTGTATTTTATCTATTTATAAAAATAATGTAGAGAACTAGATCACCTTTCTCTCTCTCTCTCTCTCTCTCTCTCTCTCTCGTTTTCTTTTTTCATTCATATTTTGTTGTTATTTTTAGTTGGTAGATAATGAAACCTAAAGCAATCCCTGACAATTCCTCAGAGTCAAAAGGTCGATCAACAAACATGTTTTTGAAGCTTCTCACCAATCTCTCTACAGTATGCAGAGGTGATTCTTGTGTTGATTGATGTGGTAACTTAGGATCAAAATATGTACATGGGGATGACAGATGCTGACGTCGATAGCGGAACGGCAACAGTGAACTCGGCTAATGTCAGATCATGGCTGAACTGTACACTGACAGTCAGGAACACAAACAAAGTCTGATACTTAGCATGTCATAAAGAAATTAAAAGGATTTTACAGATATTGCTATTATATTTTAAAAGTGTGTGTGTGATAGAGAAAAAGAGGTTTTCTATTACAAACAAATTTCAAATCTTTGTCGACAATGTCATTTTGAATCAGATCAATCAGTTTCTTAGCGTAATATCTGATATGAACATTAACTAAGCGATCTAGATTTCCGTCTGGCTGATTCCAGAATTTTTCAGTTTTCTTGAAGACTTCTACATATCGATGTTCAGGTTACTGTACATTTTCCATAAGGGTCCTCTATCGGCGATCCCGTATCAGCACCACTATTTCAATATATTGTACTTCTGCTGCTGACAGCAGACATGATAATTCGATTAAAGCAATAAAAATCGTTCATTGTTTCTTAGCCTCGGTAATCTTTTTAAATTCGCCTCCTTACCGCGGCCAATATTGTAAGACAACACACTGAGGAAAAGCAATTACAAGCCATAATTCAAGCTTAACAGACGCATAAAGAACATTATCTACTTTGTTTTCGGAAGGAATCGATATTCGGTAAAAATTATCGATAATCAGTTGATGTACGACAAGTTATTGGTAAGGTAATCTGTGTGGGCGTTTTTTAAATTCCAATTATTAAGCGTTTATTATTATGCAGAAACGCGGAAGCCCTCATTCTAAAGCAAGCCAGCATGAATAAATGTTAAAAATCTCAAATTATATAGACACTGATTTAAAATGAAGCCGGGATATTTCATGGAATTATCCTCACAAATCGTCGCTGTATCTCCAGTGTAATTGTGAAAGACTACAGTGATTTCCTTGACAGAAAGCTACTATTTCAATTACATCGATATCATAAAGCATTGAGTGTTGGGCGATAGGATGTTATATAAGGGATCTCGGGTTTCGCTAGGAATCAGTATGTCACTTTTTCTGGAAGGTACGCAGTGATGGCGCACAAATTCATCTGCAGAAGAAAATAAAAATATAGAAATATTTTACAAGATAATTGTAAGCGTCATCTGGTGAATTGTGGTCTACTCCTACACTGCTTTATGGGAGGTATATACCCCCTGGAGGATAATTAATTTTCGAGCTGAATCATTAGATGTGGGCTCTGATAAGTGTGAATTTTAATTTTCCGTGATTTGGATCTTTATAATCTGCTAACGCCTGCATCCATGTTCACCTGTGCAGGAATAAAGAGAGAATGGATTCCAATACAGAAGGTAATAATAACAACAGTTATAACTACAAGACCAGGAGGGGGGAGAGGATGGGTAAGATAAGAAGTTACGGGATGGAAGGGGCTATACGAATGCAATGTCATTTTGTTTTAATTATTTATTCTGTATTCAACTGAAAGGAAAGGGAGTTTCGTATTAATAAATAAAATGATTTTGGATAAAATGATAATAAAATTATAATGAAATGGTGGAGCACATGGTGGGTGTGACTGGTTGACCGAGGATGCTCACTCCTCAATGGCACCTGTTCCCATCTCTGATGTTTTGGAGGTCGGTGTTTGCTCTGCTTCTATTTTGTATTGTTTTATGGGATTTTTTTTAATCTTAAATATTATTCGTTATCTCCATATGTTTAATTTGCTAATTTTATTTATTTCACATCTATTTTTTTTTAATTTAAAAAAAATCATGCAAGGAAAACACCGAAGTCTTAATTCCATCTAAATAAAAAAAATACAGGAATTCTTGAATTTTTAGATAAGAATTTCTTTTTCTTAAATTGAAAAAAAAATCAATTCAATTTATAAGATTTGAAAAGGGTTATGATCAGCTCAGTTAAAATGATATTTGTTTTGGATTAAATGCTCACCAAAGCTTTTGAGCGATCTTTTATAGACATTTGTAGTCAATTTCGAAACGATTCTTTTTTTTGCGTTTCGGTTCCAATATTTGACTATAAGCACATTCATTTGATGAATATCGTGTTGAAATGATCTGAAAAATCTTCATAGCAATCTTAATGCTAATATTTTATCATATTTTAAATTTTAATATTCAGTTTTCGATGTTGATAATACAATGTACTTGCAAATTCAGAGTGACTTGAACAAAGGGTTCATTATACCTATGCCGAATGTAACCCAGAATATTCAACCGAATTACAGTTGAACAATCTATAAGTAGAATAAGGATGAAATGTTTGGAGATAACGAACAGTATTCGAGCTCAAAAATCCAATTAATATGTCAATGTAGGAACAGAGGTTGGATCTGGTGCCATGGAGGAGTGAGCATTCCCTGCCAACCGGTTACATCCGACGTGTGCTCCTTGTCATGTTCGGGAAAAAGCAGGGAAATTTGTAGACAATTCAGTGTGTAAATAATGGCCTGACAATCAGTACAGGAAAAAGTTAGTCAGCATTTCACTTAAGATAAATTGTATTTGCTGATAAGGTCAGTGTATTCGACCATAGAACTTACCAAATTATGACTGTTAACCACATATGTTTCATTAACTTGTCAATGACCTATCACGTTTTACAAATTATTCATACGTAAATCATATTCTTCCGTATTGAATCAACTGAGAGATATTAACCCCGTATGCAGGTGAAAAAGGTATATTGCTGAATAAGCAAGGGAAGCTGACGTTAGAATATAAATGAATGTGTTTAAAATAAGGATGGTCGGCCGCATGGGTAAGTGCGTCTGCTCTAGAGTCGTGAAGTAAGGAATTGATCCTTTCGTCGCCGTTAGAATCCTACTGTGGGACGTGGAGACCGGTCTTTCGGGTGACCGGGATCCCGTGTCGCACTTGGCGCTGGCACTAAAAGATCTCTTACTACTCATTTATCAAGAGTACCGAGTATAGGACAAAATATGGAACGCCATCACTGCCTTATAGCATAAAACTATGCATTCATTATGTCAATCTATCATTACATGATGTGAACATATCTTTACATTATGTCAACTTTTATGGGGTGATGTAAAAATATCTTTTCATCATGTCAATGCTGCATTACATGAAGTAAACACATTCTTCCATTATGTCGGCACTTTATAACTTGAAGACCAAAGTTCATTATGTGAAGTGAAAATATGTTTACATTGTGTTAAAACTTTATTACGTGAAATGAATGTTTCTTTATATTATTTCATTTCTTTGATATGTGAGGTCAAAATTGTATTACGTCAAGTTAATTTCGTTTTACATGTGTTCTATAATTAAATTTATCATTACATTAAGTCAAAGTCCATTTCCTTTCGTGAGTGTATATTTCTATTATAACAAAGCATTATTACGTGATGTTAATGTATCTTTATTTTACGCCAAGGTCATCACAATGTGAGGTGAATACATCTTACCTTTATGTCAGTGCTTTATAACGTGATGTTAAAAGGTTTATAACATAATGTGAACATAAATTATGGAGAAAGTCCTGGCGTTCCATATTATATCAACACTTTATTACGTTATGTCAAAACTCCATTCCTTTATGTGGATATTTAATATATATGCTAATATATTTAAAACTATCTTTACATTGTGTTAATTCTTTATCATGTTGATTACAAATGTAAAATACATTTACATTATGTCAAAGTTGATAACTGTGTTTTCACGACTGGGAAAGGGGGGGGGGGGGTCTTGATTAAGGACGAATTACAGACACGTTATATGAGGGGGGGTGAGGGGGTCTGACTTCCTCTTTTTTCCGACATAACTTGATCATAGAAAATGTTCATTGAAATTCAGCACCACTTTTTGCTGAAGTATAAGGGTAATGTAGTATATTTGGAATTTTGTTTTTGGACTGATCGAAGTTGGACCCCCTCCCCCCCCCTTTCACCCGAAATAGGATTTTCGAGTTTGGATTTTTTTTGCTTTTTCTTGAACGTTATTTTTTTCTGGCTGACAAACCTTCCCCAACTTTCAAAAACGATGCAATGTCACTGGAATTAGTCATTTTTCAACCATTCTTGGACCAGAATTCTGTTACAAAAATCTACCAGTCCCTCACTTTAATCAATTGAACATAGGCTTATATCAGTGGCGATCTTGGGTTCTTGAAAAGAGTAGCTATAGGCAGTGACGGCGTTCCATAACAAAATTTGCAGCCTTCCACCGGTAAGTGGTTGCGTCTAAATATCAGTGAAAATTTCTCGAGAGGGACGTTAAACAAAATACAATCAATCAATCAAAAATAGGATGTATAAGTTTCCATTAGTGTTTAATAAGTTTATCTGTTAATCTTAGAACACTGCCGTGATAAAAAAAAATTGTACTAAGAGACCACTTGTTATATGTTACCTTTCTTTTTCCTTTCTTTTTGGTTGGTAATTTAATACAGGTTTTACTGTAATTACACTATTTTCATTGAAAATTTATTCCTGAATTTTGTTTTTGAAATAGATTTTGCCTACTAAAACGCTCCTGTGCACAAAATTTCTCCATATACGTTTTTGAATGTATTTTCTGTTTGCTTGGTGACCAAACATAGGAATCCTCTTGGTATTTGCTGCTGTCACAGAACTTATTGAAAGATCTTATCGATTGAACAAATTAGTTCTAAACACCATAATGTTTCTGCTGTGTGGATATTGCTCAATTTGTAGAGGGGTTACTAGTATTTGACTGTTAAAAGTGATTTATGTATATTTACATTCGCTGTGTTTTTCTACTAAACAAACTATGAGCTTTTTACGAGTTAAGTCCTGGTCAGTCACGTGTGTCGAGAAGTTTAAAATAATGAAAATGAAGTAAAAGTTGGAGTCTGGGATATAAATTTTGAAATATTGTTACAAATACCCCGGGGTATGCGATTTTCAGGCAATGAATGGTATAAATTTTATCTTGACTTCTTCAATATATCTTCATTTCTTGGCAAAGTTTGTTAAGAGAAGGTGAAAAATATGTTATTTAAATCTTAATTGAGACCCATATTAAATAGTCCAAGCATATCATAATATACATTTATTGACTGAGATCGAGGGCAACATGCGTTTTGTCGGACCCAAGAACCAAACTGTCTGCCTGAGGCCGTTAGGCCGAAGGCAAGGGTAAAGCAAAACGCATTTTGCCCGAGAACTCAGTCAATAAATGTTTTGTTATACCTTTCATTTTAATTTTTTTGAAATACATGTATTTTGTGCTTATTCCGTGATGTAACATCAGATCTGTCACTGTTTAACACCAACGAATGAAAATGATATCCAGCTCCGCCCATTCTGTGACGTAAGCGGTCCAACATCTCTCCGAGCGGTCAAACATCTCACTCAGCGGTCCAACATCGATTTTTTATGCCCGCTCAGCAAAACATTAAAAATGTTGGACTTTTTTTCGTATAGATTTGTATAGGAACTAATTTGTAAAGGTATAACAACGGAAAATATTCTCCGAGTAAAGGTATATTAGGCATAAGTTCCAAGATACTTTAAAATTGAATAAATGTGCAAATTTGCAGAATTTTCTGCTTAATATTCTTCCACCACAAGAAATAGTCCCTCATAAATTTTGCTTCTTTGTGAATTTTTGAGCAATTGTTTCATTGAATATTGAACAATTTGCAGTATTTAATTTGAATATGTTTTAAAAAATGAACTATAATAAATACTTTTGATTTAAAAGGTTCCGTCTGTACTTTTCTAAAAAGCTGATGAGTGTCATACCTTTATGAAAGAAAATTTCACAGGTCTCTTTTTTCAAGCGTTGGGTAAAATATGGATTAATTGTTTTAAATGATTACCTAAGCTCTACCTAGAAATTCATGCAAAGTGCTACGGTTAAAATAATATTAAAACAAATAATATTAAGCAGAAATACTAGTAATATGGAATGCAATCCGGGGAAGAAAACACCTCTTATTAGGTGTGAGAGTTCGCACCATTGTTATCCCCGATTATTTTTAGGTGTCATTCTAAAGCGTGGAGAGAGCACTGAGGTGTCTATTTCAATTAATCAATTAATCAACCTGTGTTGTTTTATTCGAAAAGTTTCATTAGACAACATTTTAAATCTTGATAGCAATAAGAATCACCTCGCAATGTTGTTTTACATATTTAGAGGACAGCCCTGGTGAAATATGCTTGACTTTTTGTACCTGAATCTTACAGCTGTTACCTGAGGAAATCCCCCGGCCTAGCCGACGTTTCTTTATTTCCACATCATATTACGGTGTCGCCGGTGCTTTCCGACCCAAACCTTCTCGCTAACGTCTGATTAATTTTTCATGATGTACTTTTCAAATCATTGATTTCCAATACATTAATTCCTATGGCCGACACACGTGTTAGGGACTTAATTATTAACACGTGCTGATCTGGCAAAACTGTGACGTTTTCTAGAAGTGACCTATGTCTTGCAAGGTAAGGAGAGCTCAGCTGTTTCAGTCTATACCTGAGAAGTGACCATTAGTGTAAAAGCAAATGAACCTAACTTGTATGTTCAATAAGTGGACGCTAACGATACAAAGACCTCTAACAGTGGATCATAGAAATAATAATCCCCAGATCGTATTTAAAATTGATTATCATCATGAGTTGTCGAAATGATTGTTTTTCCTTTTTCAATCGGTGTACGTAAATAATCATTTAAGGAAAGAAAATCATAGGCAAAAATTAGCATGATTTTTTAACGTAAATATCTCTTGATTCTTCATTGTATTTTCCTGTTTAACACCCCTCAATGTTTTTCTCTCAACGGACCGCTTGCTGAGGAGGCTGTAAATTTCAATATAGACCTATACTCGGCACACTGGGCCATTACATGGGGAAGGGTCTCTCGCGTGGTCCTTAGTCTCTCATTCAAAGAAGCGGTCTCCAGTCTCCGAATCGGATTCGAACCCGCGACTATAATTCTCAACACCTCACCCTGTTACTCAAAAGCAAACTTTCTCTATCCACACAGGCAACTCAGATTGTGTTAAAAAGAGATTTCAAGAATTTTCAAGTTCCCTTTATCTAAAGAACAAATTAAGATGAATTAATCTGGTTTATGTTAAAAATAACAAATTTACCAAATAAGCCAATCTCCCTTTGTCGCAATTGGTGCTTGCTAGAAAAAAAATCTCTGATTGCTCCAAGGGTTGTAGGTCTAAATTGCAGCCCTTCACCGGCTAGTGGTCGTACTTCAATATAGAAGAAAAAGTCTTGTAAGGCAGTTAAATGAACAAATATAAATTTTATAGCAATAAATATTTCAGTAGCTTCCTAAAGGGAGACATTCCACAAATATAACAGCAGATACTGCAACACTTTTTATAATAGAAAAAATATCACTTAACATTTTTTTTCCTCAGAAGATACCTAAATCCTTTTTACGACAGTAGACATATTAAAACCTTTAAAGCAGGACATTTCGATGCCTTTATAACGGTAGATATTTTAGCAACCTTTTAAAAGCAGAGATTTCTACACTTCTGAATATGGATAAATACTTTAAGAATTTTATATCAACATTAAAGAGGAGGAATTTTTATATCGTACAGCATTGCCTTTAATGTCTTTATTTACAAGCTATATTTTTCATCTTTATAACAACAGCAATATTAATATCTCTATTATAACATCAACTGTTTGAACACCTTTGTATAACAATGGATATTTTAACACCTTAATAATTTATCAGATATTTTAATGAAAAAGTTGAAAACAATGAACAGATATTGATCTGAAAAATACAAAAAGAATGCAAAAAAAAGTTATGAAAACGGCAAACAACACGGGCCCCTGGAATTTCCAGAACTGGGTTCAAGTGCCTTGGAGGATAAAGCATCCCTCGTTGACCTGTGTAATAGTATAATAATACAGGAGATACTTCAGTGCTTTTCTACGACCAGTTATTCACTCATTTTTAAAAAAGCTGATTTCAGGATAGTTTTGTCACAGTAAGTATTTCAACATTTTCATGACAGAAAACAATTCTATGCCTTTATAATGTTATAACTTTATATATTATAGGTGTTATGGTTAAACACCTATATGAAAAATGCGTTCTATAACATTAAACGCCTTTTAGTGAATACTACATGGTGCAACACTGTAGATCAGCAGATAGTCAAACACCCTTACAACAGCATATATTTTATTTATAATATATTTCAATAATAACATCAGAAATTTCATCATCTTGATAATGTAAACGGTGACGATAGTGAACAGTGATAGATCTGAAAAAATCAATAAAATATAAAAAGGCATAAGTCACTGACCCTTGTAAATTTAAGCAGTAGGATTAGGTACATAGGATGATTAAGCAGTCCTTGTTGACTGTCACAATATTCGATATCAAAGTCCGTAAAATAATACAAATCAGGAGCAGAGCAAACATAGACCTCTAAAACGTGTAATCAATTCCATTAAAAAAAAAAACACAGGTTTTGCAATTATGTCTGGGATATAAAGCAACCAGTCTTAAATTTCTTTAAAAAATATATGGAGCAATAACCCAATAAAAGACCAAAATGTTATAAAACCATACAAAATACACTTTTTAACGAAACTGTAAACGAAGTTGCTGAAATCTCTGAAAATCAACTTATCAGTACCTTGCCTTTAGAAGGAGATTTGATGATAAAAAAAATTGAAATATCATTTGTCATCTCATATTTTCAAAATAGTATTTATAGTCTTTAGTAATTGACAAGTAAAATATTGTTTTTTGATATTTCAAAGGGGTTAAATTTTTTTAACATATTCAAATAACAGCAAAATTCTCACTAACCATTCATAAAATTTCAACTATCTTAACTATGTGTGGATATACAAAACATAATTTAGATCATACATTAACTGTATTATGAGATATAAACGTCTTGGACAATACAAATCAGGAGCAGAGCTAACATGTTCCTCTAAAATATCAGACTTAGGATCAGGTGCCATGGAGGAGCATCTTTTACCAACATGTATACACCCGCCGTGTGCACCTTTATAGTGATCTTTGGGGAATAACGGCACCTGTTTTATTTAAATTTCTTTAAATGAAGCATATGGGAATAACGAGCAGTATTCAAGATCAAAAGACCATAAAACAATACAAAATAACAAAGCAAACAAAGAAAACTTTGCAGATGTTACAGATAAAGAAAGTCAAATGCTATTCTTGAAGGTGGCGTAAGAAAACATCGCATCCAAACCTTAAAATTATTATAGAACAATATTTTATTAATTTACACAATTCAAAGACTAGAAAAGTTTTTTAATGTTTAAATTAATATAATGATTTTAGGTATAAAAATATACGTAATGGATATGAATAAATCGACGATTAACCATTGAAATATTTTCAACTTGTATAGAATTGTCCATATCAGGTTCATAATTTAAATCATACATTAGCTGCATTGTAGCTTTATGGTTTCATATATTAGTCTTTGACCATAATGCTACAAATGCCGTTATTCAAAAGAGGTGTAATTAACGGCGCAAGACTTTCTGCGCACTGTTGGAAATAATTTCTCCACTTTCCAGTATTGTTCAATCATCTACGTTTTATTCCTTAATTCTAGACACATACTTTTACCAACATGTATATTTTACTTACTTCCCAACCCTTTATAGTGATCTCTACAGACCAATTAACTCACCTGCTTTGATTACTAGTATGTGTAGATTGATACATAAATCACAACAAGCGAGTTTATCAGTTTTTAGAGACGACTTTAAATGTGTTTAGGAGGTGGATAAATTATACAAATTAAAAACAAAATGAACTAGGGAATTAAAGGTAGTCGATTTACCAACGTTGGAGAGAGAATGAATTCTCCCTTTTTAACGTTATCTGAAAACATTATAAAAATATTTTGTGATATTTCAAAATAGGAGTATGCATAGATAAAAAACAAATGGAAATTGTAATATTTTATTCTGATTGTTGATGAAAATCATTGCGACCCTTTTACCTTTACTGTCAGATCACATTACTGATGGCATTACTTTTAGTATTTGATGCCACGTCTTGAAAATATTGACACTATATTACAATATTTGTTTATTCATTCTTCATATGTACATAGCTGCTGTCAGGGTATTTGGCACGAAAAAAATTTAGGAGACATTATACAAATCAGGCAACTGCCAATTAGAAGTTTAATATCTGTAATTTACTTATGAATATTCAGAGAAACTGTATCCCGTCCAAGTTCTTAATGAAAACAATCAGTTCTTTAGTCATCAGACAAAACAAATTCCTCTCGACAAAAATCATAGTTTAATGATACGCAGACTTGTTTCTCTTTTACAAGTTTATTATGATTTACACCAAGCAGTATAATATTTTGTTTTCTCTTTACAGAAAATTGGATCCTTTTTACGGATTTGTCAGTCACCAACGACACAAATATTTCGTTTGCTGCCATGGGTTCAGAATCAACTAACGGACTCATGACATTCGGCCATTGGTTCACACGTATCCATGGCTACGCCAGCTTGTTCACGTGCATCTTTGGGATATTTACGAACCTCTTCAATATTTCTATTCTAACACGTAAAGATATGTGGAACCCCACTAATTGCCTTCTGACGTGGCTCGCTGTTTCAGATATCCTGACTATGATTCCATACATTCCATTTTCCCTCCACTTCTACTGCATTCACAACTTTGATGAAATCTCTGAAGAAAAGTTTTCTCGTGGCTGGACAACGTACATGCTTGTTCTTGTAAATTTAGCAGCAACAACGCACACAATTTCGATATGGCTTGGTGTCTCATTGGCAGTATTCAGGTTTACACAATTACGGACCACAGCCAAGGGACCTTTAGCACGCATGAGGAGCATGCGTCAGGTCAAATACACAACTGTGTTAGTTTATATTCTTTCTACATTGTGCTTAATCCCTAATTACCTGACCAACGAAGTTGTGCAACAAAAAATGGATTCCAACATAACAATTTACGTCCTTAATGACTTAAAATTAGCCACCAATGAAACAAAGCCGATTGTGCTCGCTAACGTTCTCTCCTACGCCACTGTGGCCAAATTCATTCCATGTGCACTCATGATTGTGTTCGGTGGGTCATTGTTGTATAGTCTCGGAATTAAAGGAAGGCATCGAAGGACTAGGCTCTCTGCCGGACAGCCGCCTACAAAACGAGGCACGAAGCATTCTAAGACGACCAAATTATTGCTGGTTGTGATTATTCTATTTTTGGTAACGGAATTCCCTCAAGGTATTGTGATTTTTATGAGTGCCATTGTTCCAAACTTTTACAAATCTGTGTATGTGCCTTTGGGAGACTTTATGGATTTCCTTGCACTTGTGAACAATGCCATCAATTTTGTTTTGTACTGTAGCATGAGTAACCAATTTCGGTCTCGATTTTTGGAGATGTACTGTAACAAAAGACGTGGCTTTAAGTACACCAATAAGTTTAGTTTTACGTATTCTTTATCGTCATTTACAAAAGCAACTGTTGTTGATTCCTTAAAGAGATGAAAGAGGGTGATAAAATGTTTTCCTGCCCAAAAATGTAAAATTTATTTTGTCTGTACATAACTGTTGTTTATTTATGCGTAAATGAATGTCTTTGAATACAAAACTTATATCAATGTGTTCCAATCGACAGGTACATGTAAATCACAAGATTAATCAATTGATTGACTGAAGTGGTACTAAAAATAAAGAAAAGAATGTTGAACCTTTGAAATGACAAAACTCGAAACTAATGAGGTTTTATTTATTCTTTCTTCTTTTTTTAACTTGTTCTCCTTGCTAGTAGACATGGACAACCTAATTGTAAATGTGATTAGAACGTAACAAAGAACTCATTTTACCTTTTTACCAAATCCTGATGAAAAATGAAGTGCCTCGTTCTTTCTATACATGTAAAGTGATGTCATCAAGTTTATCATAGAGCTTGGTTGTAAGATTACCATTAACGTCATGTAAAATATCCAAATATGAAACAGAGGAGTCAGATTCTGTGGTATCTTTTATCTCAAGCTCACTAGGATATATCGTATTGACAGATGAATGGAAATTACAACTTTTAATTGATAATACTTCGTCGAATATCTAAATGTCGAATTAAAGGCATTTCTCGCATAAGATTTTGCACAAGTTCTGCTTTAAATGAATACAAAAATAGGTCTGCTGATAAGGGGCGCAATTGGTACTCAGGATATTCCAATAGAGTGTTGGAAGACCTGGTCTCCAAAAACAACATAGCTATTGTCAATCAGAAACTCGTAAATCTTTGTATGTCGACTTCAGAGTACTTGTTTGTACAATCTAAACTTACCAATAAAGAGAAATATTTAAACTCTATATTTTGCCTTAATAAACAATCATATTTAGTACTTGCAAGTTTGTTAATTATTTTACCATATATTGGCGTCACTGTGTGTTTCATTAATATATTTCTATCGAAACGTAAGAGTTTATCCTCATATACATTTCATACAGCGCGTAGTAAATAAACGAAAGGTCATTAACATTAGATACATTTACAAATCTACATGTAATGATATAAAATACAAAATCTGTACAGTAACCATAGCAATTTCTCTCCGTACTTTTCGTTTTCGAATAGGGGTTCAATCAACTTAATACGGTGAAAGACTGATAAACGGTTTATTGCGTGAATAAAATGGTTAGAAATACACAGTCATCTAATGTAACGGAAGTTGCAATATTACGATTCCAACGCTTTTAAAAGTATTCATCCATTATATAAATGTTATACAATACTGTATATACCACAGATTGATTGATTTATTGTATATTGTTTAACATCACTCTCGAGAATTTTTCTCTCCTATGGAGACGTCACCGTATGTCGGTGAAGGGCTTCAAATTTTGACCTTTACTCGGTACTCAGGGCCATTGAGCAGTGAGGGATCTTTATCGTGCCAACGCCTGTCGCTGACACGGGGCCTCGGTTTTTAAGGTCTCATCCGAAGGACCCGCAACTTTCACTTCAAAGTGCAGAGCGCATGGCGAAGGAACAGTTGCTACCCATTCTTTATCGACTTATTGTATAGTTTTCTTTTATCATAGCACTACAGATTCCTGATGCAAATATTTGTGCAATTTACTGCGCAATATTTTGTGGGTCGATTTTGAAAAATTCTCCCCTTTTCTACATTAATCAAACAACTACCTTTCACTCCCTTATTCTTGACATATTCTTTAACAAATTACCAGGATGTGTATATTTTTTGTATAGACGACTTCAAAGGTAGAAGGTGGATGAAATGCACAGCTTGGCAAAAATATACAACTTGGTGGAGATATCCGGTCCAAACCATGCCCAGAAAAATCCTGTGCGGTAATTTATACGTTGTTTGAATCAACTGATCATCTGTAGCGTTATAGTAAAGAATGCAGGTATGCAACTGCATACTTATATGAATACGTTGAAGATACTGATCAGTTAATTTGAAGGGAAGAAAAATATTCCAAATATTCAAGCACTTTTTAGAAAAAAAATGGTTTAAGCTTTTATACTCATATACCTTAATTTTTTATACATTTATACAGTAATATTTAATTTGATGGTTTTTTTGTTTGTCTGTTGTTTAATGTCCCCCTCGAAAATCTTTAACAATTTGGAGACACAAGCACTTGCTAGTGGAAAGCTGCAAATTTTATCCTTTACTTGGCACTTAAGACCTTTTCATGCAAACAACTACTTCGACACAGGACCTCGGATTATACAATTTCATCCGAAGGACTCGATTCGAACCCACGATCAACTCATTTATGGGCGACTATAGAACAAACCCTCTAACCATTGCGCAACAATGGTGATTGTTTGATTATGTACCATTACATTATTTACAAATGAGTAACAGCTCTCCTTGGCGTATCAAGAACGTTGTGAAGTACCGATAACTGTTCAAATGACATAAGAGACAATGGATATTTCAAATGTTTACTCGTAAATACTGATCACGATTTTAACAATAATACAAAGCCTTTTTGGTATTTGAAAAATCTCGCTCCTTGTGATATCATAATTACCATTTATTACTTAAAGGGTATGACTGCTCGACGAAAGTTGCTTACTTCCCAATAGCACCTGAACCTTCTTCTGACGTGTCAAAAAGTCCTTTTTGCACTGCTCCCGATGTTACGTTTTCGATGGGACTTTGGGCTTGATTAGTTTTCGATGTTTTATATTTTTAATTGAGAGTTGTATTGTTTGTTTCGACAAATGAATGAAAGTAACTAGCATAGGTTACATCATAGAAGTTGAGTATTATTGAATATACAGGGCGTGGAAATCGAAGGTTGGAGTGCCCGAAATTTTCACGCTCCATGATACCGTATATCTAATAATAGTAACAAAAGTCCATAGAACAATACAAAATAGGAGCAGAGCAAACACGGACTTCCGAAGCATCAGAAGAGGGTCAGGTGTCATGTAGGAGTGAGCATCCCCTGTCAACCGGTCAAAGCCGCCCTGTGCTCATTGTCATGATCGGGAAATAAAGGAAAAATCCGTCGTCAATACAGTGTATAAATAATGGACCAACAATTAGTAAGAAAAACGTCAGTCAGCATTTGTCTCAATGATAAATTGTATTTGCATTCTGAAAATAGTATTTGCTGACAAGGCCATTGTATCGACCATAGAACTTACGAAATGATGATATTAAACGAGATTGCTGATATTCTTGTTTCATCAATTTGTTTGTCAATAATTGTCATCACCTTTGTCTGAAGTTGACATCAAGAAGATGCTTGAGTTTCTGATTGACAATATCTGTGTGGTTTTTGGAGACCAGGTCTTCCAAAAATCTATTGGAATTCCATGGGAACCACTTGCGATCCGTTATTAGCAGACCTATTTTTGTATTCATATGAAGCAGAATTTATGCACAAACTTATGCGTGAAAAGAAGAAAACACTTGCTGTGGCCGTCAACTCGACCTTCAGATATATCGACGACGTATTGTCAATTAACAATGGTAATTTCCATCCCTACGTCGATACGATATATCCAGGAGAGCTTGAGATAAAAGAGACCACAGAGTCTGACACATGTGTTTCATACTTGGATATTTTACTTGGAAGAGACGTTAATGGTAACCTAACAACCAAGTTATATGATAAACGTGATGACTTTAACTTTTCTATCGTCAACTTCCCTCACTTATGCAGCAATATACCTTCATCACCTGCATCCGGAGTGTATATATCTCAGTTGATCTGATACGCAAGAGCATGCTCTACGTATGAACAATTTCTGAAACGAGGTAAATTATTGACAAGTAAGTTGATGAAACAATGATATCAAAAGTCTCGTTTAAAGTCATCATTTCGTAAGTTCTATGGTCGATACAATGACCTTGTCAGCAAATACAATTTATCATTAAGTCAAATGCTGACTGACGTTTTTCATACCAATTGTTAGTCCATTATTTATACACTGAATTGACTACGGATTTTCCCGTTATTTCACGATCATGACAATGAGCACACGGCGGGTGTGACAGGTCAGCAGGGGTTGCTCACTCCTCCCTGACACCTGATACCACCTTTGATGTTTCGGAGGTCCGTGTTTGCTCTGCTCTTGTTTTGTATTGTTTTATGAACTTTGAGATTGAATACTGTTCGTTATCTCTATATCCTTCCTTCATAGAGCTTTGTTGTTAGATTACCATTAACGTATTTTTCAAGTAAAATATCCAAATACCGGTATGAAACAGGTGTGTCAGACTCTGTGACATCTTTTATCTCAAGCAACGTTGTAGAAATTGTTCATTCGTTAACTCTTGCGTATCGAATCAACTGAGATATACAACTTTCTATGCAGGTGATGAAGGAATATTTCTGCATAAGTAAGAGAAGTTGGCCATAGTTGATAACAAGTAGGACAAGAGTAAAAAAGCTTGTCGTTTTAGAAAATGTGAGAGAACAGGTCCAACTTTATGGATTTTGATAAGTTTAATTTTAAATACAATTCGATGAGGGTTTTTTGTTTAGAAAAAAAGCTTGACCTCGATATAAGAATTTCCGATGGCTCCTCTGTTATTATATGAAATTTGAAAGGGAATATGTCGTATGTTACAGACTTGGATTATTTAGATCTAAAAATACTTCGATGATTTTTGTTCATAAGATCTCTTGCTAACTGTATTTATTTTTTAAATTCAATTTGTTCTTAAACAAGTATCACTAAAAAAAATTTTTTTTACATTGCAATGATTCAGTAATTCCCACGACAGATGTCTCGTGACGTAATATATGATTGGGTGTGGAAAGTTTTATCGCATATGTGATATGAGATATAGCACATAGCAAGATCAGAGAAAAAATCCGTAGATATGTTTTGATAAAAGCAATGGTTCAAGGATGTTCTATGTTGCTGTACGTGTTTTATAGTGAACCAAATGTTTTGAATTAAGATTTGAAATTTCAAATTCATATGGAGACAACATCATATAAACATTGTGAAGGGCTTCATATTTATACCTTTACTCCGCTCTTGGGGTGATTGATCAGTGAGGGTTCTTTATTGTGCTGACGTCTACCTTGA